TTAGAGTATACTAAACTTTACACATCATATAGACTACACTAACGTGACATTTAGATGGTTCGTTTAACTATTATACATGATGTACATTTTTTAGGGGGGTGGTTAATGAAAGTGTTCCAAAACGCGACATTAATTTCTTGACAACCTACTACATAATTCCTCATGGATGACCTATATGCATAAATGAAAAGAATGCAGCACTCAATTTACTGCATATTATGAATACTAAGCTGCAAACAATCCAAGTTTAAAAAGTTAATGCCAAAATTTAATAGACAGTGGTAGTGAATTTATAAATATCTATTATCAGCTTTAGACACTTCTAGTTTAATCAATATTAGTAAAATGGAACACAGGGTGACAGTGAATTTACTTACATGATGAGATAGATCAGCATCCATGATGATCACAAAATTACCACTTGCATGATTAATTCCATGAACGTAGGCTGTTCCCAGTCCTAATTTCTTCTCTCGTGGCCTTAAAACCTATAATGCATAACTTTTTTGTTGTAATATAAATACTGTAGTAAACAAATCACTTCAGTGACTCTTTGCTTATAAGACACAATGAAACAATTTAGTTTACATTATTTAAGAATCCAAGTCATGTTTATGTCACAACTCTTTCTTGGTGATTCATCTCACTTGGCTAAAATGATGCAATACATAACTATAAATAAAAATGCAAGATATAATCTAAGGTTATTATAATTAAATTAATAATTATTTCCTGTAATATGAGTGCACAATGCAAAGTCAGCCTATTTCACAGTTTCAAAACTACTTTAGAGAAAACACAGGACAAAATTTAATATTTATGGGTATTACAGTATTGTATATTTGTACCATTAAGAAGTATTCCTTATCTTTTTTAAGATACTGTTTCTGAAAACAATCATAAACTTTCTTAATTATTAAAATTTGAAGAAATTAAAATTTCACATTCAATAATTTGTTTCATAAACAAGGTGCAAGATGAGATTGCCTACATTAATCCCCTAACTGATAGCTCAAAATTAAGATGTTTGTGTGTGAATGTCTAATATGTAGAACAAAACAATACTCTAGCTACATTTAGCTATCAATATAATAAAAAATATTATGAAAAATGAAGAACTTATTTTTTAATAATTATGTAGTTGCTTTACAGCTCTGGCCATTGATCTTTCTTTCACAGGAAAAAAAAATACTGATAACAATCAAATTTCAGCATAAGCATCATTATTTCTGAATGATACAAATTTTGATTAAGTTTTATTTTCCAGATTATTCATAGTAAGAATATCAATCTCCTGAAGTGAAATTTTCTAATATCTTTTAAACTACATGCATAGGAATAGCATTTACAAACATTTGGTGATTGAATTAAATTACTAAAAAACCTGAGAAACTTAGCCATTTAGAAACTTAGTAAACTACTATTTCAACATTACGAAATTGCATATCTGTTGTGTGGTGACACCTACATCTATTTTATATAATTCAAGTAAGCCTAACAACAACAATGTAGAATTGTGAAAATATAACCTATTTCATTGCTTAAAAGAGAGGAAATTGCAGCAAATACTGAGTAAATAAGTGTAAAATACTTTCATAAGTGATGAGGTATTAATCTTCCCCAAACTGCAAGTCAAAACAATCCATCTGACTTCTAAAGTTTTTCCTAAAAAAATAACTGTTCACATCAATGTGTCACCAATGTTAAAACTGTAGTTATACTAAAACAATTAAACAAACTGTCCACCCAAACATAGTGAAAATAATATAAATAATTGAAAATATGAACAGTCATACCTTTGATGCTGCATCAATTTGTATATATATTTTTACACTTTTTCTATAGCCACACAAGTGATAATGAAACTGGACAAAATGTGATAGTTCAAATACAATATAATCAAACACAAACTGATATACCTACCAATACCACATTTTCCTTCAGATCATTGTTTAAAATATTATCCTGTTGTTTTTCACAGTGGTTTGAAGTTTGATACAAAGAAAATCATTTGAAAGAGTTCTTATTATGCCTTTTACAACAATTATAACACTAACAGGCTTAAAACATAATTAACTATGTACATCACTTTCCTCCCTGACTAACCTACCTACAGATGCAGGTTATTCTGGTGTTTATTTTAGGCAAAAGTTCAAGTTCGCCTCCCTTGTATACTGGATGCACTTTGTTATCTGCTTTGTAATCAAGGCTCTCTCTACAAAACCTAGGAATCTCATTTTCTTTTCTCTATTTGTGTTAATCCTGTTAAGTGTTTCTGTTTATTTTTGGATTACTATTTCAAATTTATTTTTATTTTTCAAGTTGATCATAATTACATTATTGGAAAAATTAGGTCCACTCTGAAAGTATAACTCATGAGAAGTTAATGTTACAAACCAAATGCACAAGTTGATCTATGAAAAATGAAGAAACAACTACACAACTGACTGAAGTTCTGGAATGACAAATCCTAGTTTTACTAGCATGTGATCAGTTCATCATTGTTTGAAGTCAGAAAGAGAAAATAAATGTTAGACTGAAATACAATAGAAGCACAACTTCAAGTGAAGCTGTTCAACTACTCAACATTACAGGTCAGGATGACTGAAAATGATTTAACTCCTACCTTACATATGGAAAGTATAAGGAAAATATAGTATGTAGTATACTATGGACAAAAACACAAAGCTTTAGGTGAGGAAACACAGGATACAATTCTAGGAATTGGAAGCAAAGCAGTGTTTTATTATAGGACATCAAAGACATTGAAGGGAGCCGAAGGAACGATTGTCTCACTTTAGCCAGCAAAAAACACTACATCCAGGAATGCAAAGGATGAGGAGAAAATCCAGAAAACCAATCTGGACATTTAACATAACACAGAAATGAAAAAATAAAACAGTAATGATGATGATAGGAAAGTTTAATAATGAAACAATGATCAGTTAACTCAGTTCAGTTGAGAAAAATAGAGCTGTTCCAATTTTGGAAAGAATTTCACTGCAGAAAGCGACTATAGTTAATGGAAAACTAATTGTCGTTGACAGCAGAGATCAACTTTTCTCTACAGCTGTCAAAAAATTTTTCCTCCTACAGTGGAAAATTACAATCTTCCATGAGCTTAAATCAACAACCAGACAACAAGTATGCTGACATCTGGGAGCGTGAGCAGGAACCACAAGTATAAACAATCCCTCAGCTGGGGTCCCAGCCAGCAGACAAAGTAAGGCACCCACACTATCCACCCACAGAGGTATCAGCTGATTGCCATAATGTCAAGATATGAAATGCAAGTGTGTCTTATATATCATAATGCATAATACAGCAAAATATACTGCCAATTTATAATGTTTTTTGATGGAGAAATGACATTGACTGGAGACTGACTGTGAAATCCAATTACATGGTGAAATAGTTAAAAAGGTTCATATGAGAGTTAGTGGACCACATAAAGAAAGTTACTATATTTTGTCCAATTACAACCTCCAATGTTGAGAAAATGCCCAAAAAATGAAATATATAATGGGACTGACATGAACTGCATGATGAATAACAATCTACACTTAGCTAAGAAAAAGCTGAAATTCAAACTTATTTTCTCATGAGAAGCTTTTCTGTTCAATATTGCTTGTGACCAAGAGCGACACAAAAAAATAGTTTTCTGGGACAGATTTCTCATAGAATTATGAATGCACACTGTGACAGTTTTCAAATAGTTTAAATGTGATATAGAAATATTATATTATCTGTCAATTACAATACTTAGTTGTATTAAGTTTCATAAAATAAAGCAGTAATCACCCTATAGAGAGAGAGTGAGAGAGACAAAGTAATATCCTTATGCAATACTGAGAAAATTTATGTAAGCCAGAGAACAACTTCTGATGCTCAGCAAAATCAATTTGACAAACACTGAAATCCTATATAGGAAACAGAAATGTGAAGAATCTACAAAAAATGTTGCAGTTGGTATTTTATAAATGTACAAAGATTACTTAAATGAGAGCCACTTTATCATCATCTCAGTAATTTTCTGAAAGCTAGGTAATTCTGTCTTTAGAAAACAATGAAGAGGATAATTTTAAAATGTAAGGGTTGGACATTAGTGAAATGTGGAAAAAGAAGTGCAATCCGCAACCTGTGATGAGGATCCCAGAAGCAGCAGTGTAGACAATTACAAGTGAAGAGTGTGGAACACCACCTGAAAAGATAGCTACTCAAAGTTGAATGATAAAAAGAAACACAATGTTAGTACTTAATTATTTCACTTAGTGATGAAAGGTGCTAAACAAAGAAACATTGGAAAAGTAGAGAGCTAATTATCTGTACCTAGTGCCCACCAAATTTCATTTTGATCAATGATTCTGGAATGCACAGTGTTTTAGGAATTAATTAACAAGAATAACTGTCCTTCAACCATCTTCAAAGAGAAAGACAGAATGACACACCTGTAAATGCATTAGAGTTGTTGATCAACTTGATTAATTGATATATCCCATTACCTATGAGCATTGATTAAACTGATTAATGTCATGAAAATAATCAACTAATCAAAGTTAGTGTTTTGTATTAATTCAACTATCCAAGTAATCAAAATATTGCTATTATGAGCTCTCATTATTTTCAATGAACTCAAGTTTGGTAAGCTTAATCAATTAACATCATGACTCACTTAAATAATCAATTAATCGAAGTTTGTGATTCTTCTTATTAATATTTTTTATTACTATAACTGTACAAGTCCGATGTAAGAATAATCAATTAACATCATGACTCACTTAAATAATCAATTCATCAAAGTTTGTGATTCTTCTTATTAATATTTTTTATTACTATAACTGTACAAGTCTGATGTAAGAATAATCAATTAACATCATGACTCACTTAAATAATCAATTAATCAAAGTTTGTGATTCTTCTTATTAATATTTTTTATTACTATAACTGTACAAGTCTGATGTAAGAATAATCAATTAACATCATGACTCACTTAAATAATCAATTAATCGAAGTTTGTGATTCTTCTT